ATTCAATAAAAGATGACATGTTCATACCTTTATCAAATAGATGAGGATAATCACGATGCATTCTCTCCTCAGTTTTCCAAGTAGTATCCCCATGTGACATGTCCTTCTAGAAGACTTTGAGGAGTCTAATAGTCTTATTATGCAATTCCTTATCCTTGATATCAAGGATTCTCTCTGGTTCTGCTTTATTAGTCAAGTCTTCTCGTAGTTCCACCCATCATGTGTCTTTTGGTTTGAGTGATGTGAACTTCTCAGTATCACCCATCATGTGTCTGGAGCATCCACTGTCGATGTACCATTTGTTCATTTTGGATGCTTTGAGACATACCTACAAAAAACACAATCATGTTTTAGGTACCCATACCATCTTAGGTCCTTTTTGGTTAGTATAAGTTGTCCTAGGCACATAAGTACCTTTGGGTACTCATTTTAATGTCCCCTAAATTCCTTTCTTCTTATGATAACAAGAAGAAGTTGTATGACCTTTACGGTTGCAATAAGAGCAAAGTGCAAACGGATTAGAGGAATGAATAGTATTTCTAAAGAATGTAAGATACGATCGACCACTACTCTTCTTCTTTCCCTTCGACTTATCCTGAACAGGATCATATCCTATTCTGATTTTATCCATCGAACACCGTTGAGCTCCCAAAATCACTTTGAGCATTTCACTACCCTTAGTGAATTTTTCTAAGGTTTTTGTGAGATCCTCGGCCTTCTTTCTGTTCTTTTCACATTCCATGCATACTGGAGGCGGGACTACGTTGTCTTCAGGCTTTATTTGCTGTTCTTCCAGGAACTTTATTCTTTTCTTAGAGCTTACCAACTCTTTTGCAATTCTTACTAATTCCAAATGTAATGCATTGTATTCAGACTGTAATTCATCATAAGAGGGTTCAGAAGTGATTACCTCATCTGTCTCTGATTCTTTGTCTTCCTGGGCCATGAGACAGATGTTGGCGATTTCTTCATCATCACTTTCTTCTTCCCCTTCCGAAGAGCTATCGCCCCAGATTGATGTGATAAAGGATTTCTTCTTTCTAAATCTTTCTTTCTTCTTTTCTTTGTCCTTCATCTTGGATAGTTGGGGACACTTCACTTTGATGTGTCCTGGTTTCTTGCATTCAAAGCAGATGATCAGTTCTTTTGACTCATTCTGAGATGTTGAGATTCTGTTTTGACTGGAACTTCCTTCCATCTCTGCTCTTGTAGAATTTCTTGAATCTTCTGATGATAAGACCTATTTCATCATCCTCCAGGTCTTCTTCGTTGTCATCTTCACCCTCTTGAGTTTTAAGAGCGATACTTTTGCGGTTCTTCTCTTTCATCTCCTTTTTATATCTTTGCTTGCTCTCATACTCTGCAAGGCTTCTGAATAGCACTGCAACAGATCCAATTGATTCTCCCTTTGTTTCTTCAATTGCTGTTACCTTCGGCTCCCATTCTTTTGTGAGACCACTTAAAATTTTTCTCACTTGGTCCTCCTGACCATACTTCTTTCCGAGTGTCGTTAGATGATTTATGAGATGCGAGAATCTGACTTCCATGACTCGGACACTTCTCCATCCTTCATTCTGAATAGCTCGAATTCTGTGGTGAGAGTGTTGATTCTACTCAGTTTTACACTGGTGGTCCCTTCGTGAGCTATCTCCAGTGCTTCCCACATTTCTTTCGCAGTTTCTAGATTGGAAACTCAAAAGTATTCTCATTGGCTCAGGGCACAGGTAAGTATGTTGATGGCTTTGTCATTTAGGGTCACCAACTTTCTGTCTTCTTCATCGAACTCGCTGGGACTCTTGCATACTTGCTGTCCGTCTACGGTTTTCATAGGGACGTAGTTACCATGCTCTACCACATCCCATAATCCATACTCAGTCGTCTTGATGAAGATTTTCATCCTCATCTTCCAGAAGGTATAGTTTTCACCATTGAAGCCTGGCAGTTTGGACGTTGAACACCCTTCAGGTAGCACGCTGTCTCTGAATCCTACCATGGGATCTCTCTTTGGACTGTTACGTCTTTACTGAAGAGACCCACTCTGATACCAAATTTTAGTGGCAGTCTCACCCAAGAGGGGGTGAATTGAGTGAGTTATAAAAATTTATGAAATTAAAACTAAGAACTATCGGAAACAAAAAGTGTGAGTTTAGAAAGATTTCACCGTAGAGAGGAAGACACAGGATTTATACTGGCTCGGTCTCAACAACTTGAGCTACGTCCAGTCCTCAAAACACCTCTGAGTATTTCACTATGTTCCAAGATTGATCGGGCTCTTGGCGTATCAGTACAGTAATTGAAACTCTCAATCACTCCCCCTTACTTCCTGTAAGGTTACAAACCCACTCAAGAGTCCACACTCTTAAGTATCACACAAAACGTGATTAATGAAGAGTAAGTAAACTCTCTTACAGAGTGAATAAATGATAATCACTGACGCTCAGTGTTATGGAAGAACAAAGTACTGAATACAACAGTAAATAATCAACAGAGGATAGCTCGCGTATTCAATCTGTTCATTTAATGCTTCTTCGCGCCTTTTATAGTTGAGATCGTTTAGTAACTATTAGACGGAAGAGCTTCTAGCTGTTGAGAGTCCGATTGCGTGTTTTTCCAGTTGGAACGGTTTCCGCCATTAATGCTTATGACAAGGTAGGTTACAGGCTACTTGGACAACCGTTGGAGAGTCGTTGGGATTTTCTTTGTAATCTGCAAAAATACATTAATTCAATAAGTTTTTCTCTGTAGAGTAAGATCAAAAGTAGAACCGAACAAATGATAAAATGAATATTCATAGTTTACAGTTAGAATCAATCAGTTGTTAAATGTGCTGGGTAATAACTGAACGTGCTTGATCAAAGTGATGTTCGATTACTACTTGATCAATCAGGTTATCAATTATTCTGAGTGAAAGCTTTTGAAACAGATAACTAAGATTATCAATCAAGTGACGGATCAATGGTTTATCGATCAAGTGATCAATAAAAGGAGATAGTGACATCATATTGGTATGCATAGAAAAGGAAGATCAAGGTCACTTTTGATTTTGAAACTTTTTAAATAGTGAATTAAGACATTTATGAAGGCTGAGAAAAGCTCGAATGAAATAGATGATACATTTTGAAAAACATTAAGACCAGTTAAAGTTTAAACCGAAATCACCTCATGATCAAACAAGTGATCGAATACTTGTTGATCGATCAGGTTATCGATAAACAAAGTGTTATAGAAATAAGTTTTGAATCACTAATTTTTGAACACTTTATCGATAAATAGATTATAGATAATCTTATCGATAAACAATAAGTAAAAGTATATTTAGTGAAAACACAGGCTATGTAGGTTGATCGAATAGGTGATCGATAAAAGGTTGATCGATAATGTTATCGATAAAGAGATTTATTCTTGTAAAATAAAAGAGTTGATTTATCAATCATGTTATGTGAAAACAAGGTAAACATAAAGTGTGGTGATTGATAATAGTATCGATAATCTGATTATCGATCCGGTGATCGAAGAGCCACGATCTAATAATGATGTGCTGATTATCGATCATGTGATCGATAATTTGTTGATCGATCAGGTGATCGATAAGCCACTAAAGTAAATACTTACATGCAAAGTTATGAGGCAGTGTTCGATCATATTATCGATAAATGGCTGATCGATAATGTGATCGATAAATGGAGACAAAAGCAAAACATAGAATGAGTAAAGCGCATTACCATTTATCTATCTTCTCATCGATAATCAGTTTATCGATCATGTGATCGATAAATACCTATCAAATTTGTATCCCGATATTCAATCATCCTGATTATCGATCAAGTGGTCGATAATTTACTCCAGACTTTCACACATGACTAAGTTAGGAAAGATCGATCAATTGATCGATCAACACATTATCTAACACATTATCGATCAAAGTTTCTGCTGAGTTTACTTAATTGAATAGAGATATTATCTATCAACTTATCAATAAAACCTTGATCGATCAAGTAATTTGTGTTTCAGTATGTTGATCGATCATCTAATCGATCAACATACTGAAACACAAATTACTTACTTTGTTATCATCAAAACCTTAATCTTAACACTAAGCACTTTAAATTTTGACCCATAAAGATAGTATCTCCAAATCTTAAGAGAAAATACCAATGTTGCTAGCTCTGGATCATGAGTTGGATAATTTTCCTCATGGGATCTTAGTTGTCGTGAAGCATATGCTACCGCCTTCCTATCTTGCATTAATATGGCACCTAAACCTTTCAATGAGGCATTAGTATATAGGGTGTATGGCCGATTCAGGTCAGGAATAGTAAGAAAAGGTGCGGTTGTTAATCGAGATTTCAACTCTTAGAATGCAGCTTCGCACTTATCAATCCAGATGAATGGTTGATCTTTCTTTGTTAATTTTGTTAATGGCATGGCAATGTAAGAGAATCCTTTGATAAACCTGCGATAGTATCCTGCTAATCCCACAAAGCTTCTAACCTTTGTAACTGACTTAGGTGACTTCTATTTTAGCACAGCATCTACTTTACTCGGGTCTACTGCCACCCCCTCTATTGAAACCACATGGCCTAGAAAGTTTACTTCCTTTAACCAAAACTCACACTTGCTTAACTTTGCATAGAGCTTGTGATCTTTCAATACTTGTAGTGCAACTCTTAGGTGTTCTTGATGTTCTGCTTCACTTTTTGAATAGATTAAGATGTTATCAATAAATACAACTACGAATTGGTCCAGATAAGGTCTAAAAATTTGATTCATGTAGTCCATAAACATTGTTGGGGTATTAGTCAACCCAAATGGCATCATCAAAAACTCATAGTGTCCATATCTTGTACAAAAAGTAGTCTTAGAGATATCTTCTGCTTTAACTCTAAGTTGATGGTAGCCCGACCGTAAATCAATCTTAAAAAGGACTGAAGATCCCACTAGCTAATCTGATAGATCATCTATTCTAGGTAAGGGGTACTTGTTCTTGATTGTTACCTTATTCAGCTTTGATAGTCGATGCACAAACGCATGCTCCCATCTTTCTTCTTAACAAACAACACTAGGGATCCCCATGGGGATACACTAGGTCTAATGAACCCTTTCTCGAGAAGTTCCTCCATATGTCTTTTTAATTCATTCAACTCGGATGGAGACATTCGGTAAGGAGTCTTAGATATAGGTGTTGTGCTTGGCATTAAATCAATTGTAAACTCAACTTCTCGTTCAAGAGGTAACCTGGTCATTTCCTTAGGGAAGACTTTAGGAAATTCCCTAACCACATCAATATGATCAATTCCTTCCTCGGTATCTACTTGTCTTGAGAAGAACAATGTATAGGCTTGACATCCTTTTTGTATGCATTCATCTACTTGCACAGCAGATAAGAATACTGACCCACTAGATAGTCCTATAGGCACCACATCTTCAGGGAAGACAACTACTCTTTTTCTACAATCTAGCACAGTATTATTACATGATAACCAATTCATCCCAATAATTACATCCATCCCTTGTAATGGTAAACAAATTAGATCTATTATTGTTCTACGGCCTTTAAAATCTGATGTAAGGTTTAAACAAACTTGAGTAGTTCTAACAGACAAACCCACAGAAGTAGACATACTCAAAATAACAGGCATCTCAGAGATGTGCAAATTAGAATGCAAGACATACTTATAAGAAACAAAGAAATGGGTAGCACCAGAATCAAATAGTGCTTTGACGTTATGTCCTTGGAGGGATATCATACCTTTGATGGCATTAGGGCAGCACCTACTTCTTCCTAAGTAATAGCAAAGACACAGCCTGGCATTATTGATCGAGTATCCCTAGAGTTCTGAATGTTATGCTGATTCTCAAGACAATAACGAGCAATGTGCCCTATCTTGTGACACTTGTAGTATTCCCAACATTTTCCAAGATGGTCCCTTCCACACTGTAAGCAAGGTCCATGGATAGTAGGGGTTGACATCACTGATTCATGATGAGTGATCGGGTTTCTATTAGACTGAGATCTTGAGATTATGCTCTTCTGGGCTGAGCCCTTTTGTACAGACTTCTTGTGACTTAAACTTCAATTCTTTCTATATGGACCTACACTTCCTATGCCCGTATTATTTCTCTTACTAACCCCTCCAGTTGGTCCAAGGTACGAGGAAAACCGCTCTTGAGAATCCCTTCTACGAGCCTCCTCAGCCTCATGAGTCCGTCTAGCTGCAACTTGAAGGTTGGTACACATATCTCTAAAATCAGTCACTGGAACCAGGGCCAGTTGTTGCTTCAAGTCTGGTCTAGCTCTTTCTCATAATTGCCTAGCCATCCAACCTGAGTCCTCATTCCTCCGCAACAATGTCACATATTTAGACAGGTCTATAAACTTAGCGATGAAGTCATCTTCATGCATATTGTTTTGTTGCAAGGCAAAGAACTTTGATTCCTTGTCTTGATGTAGGGCAAGCGGGAAATAGTGATAGAAGAACATCCTCTTGCATTCATCCCTAGTAACTTGTGAGTCATCAGTTGGGCTCACACTTTCCCACTAGCGCTTAGCTTGTCCCTCTAACAGCACAATAGCTACTTGCACCTTATGCTGAGTAGTGCAAGTAGCAGCTCTGAAAATGGTCTCCAGTTTATCTATCTAACCTTTAGCCTCAACTGGATTCATGTCACCCTTAAATATCAGGGAATTATGACGGCTCACATCTTTCCATACTGTTTTCATTGAAACATCCACTAACGAAGTTTGTTGGACAGTTTCTTTCCCGCTCCCAGCACTTAGAGCACTAGGTTTCCCTCTGCTCTGATCTCTGAATTTCTTTTTCCCATTATATCCTCCTCCAGATTTCTAAGCCTTTCTTCCACGACTTCAGTCATTACTTGTCGTAACTGTGTCAGTAGAACCTCGTTATTCTGCGATTGAGGTTACTTAGTTAGTTGATCATTAGGTTGATTAAGAGGTTGTTCCGGAGAAGAAGAAGCCTCCTCTACTATGGGTTCAGTCCTTCGTGGTCTTGCCATTCTCCCCACTAAGGATAGAACCCATGAATACAACCAAACGAAAGAAGACACGAGAAAACTAAGAACATTTCAGGAAAGTTTATGCCATTACGTATATTACCACTATATGCATACAAGAAGCAATTCAAAATCACGAAAAGAAAAAACAGATGATTCTGATACCAAAATGTAACATCACCACTTACTAAATAGAACTAACCATGATAGAAAGGACTAAAACTAGTAAACATACCCTATCATGGTTATTTAGGAGCAATCACATCACTAAGGCTATCCATGATAGAAAAGCATTTCAACCTCAATTAAGTCTATCATGCTTAGAAAATGAATAACCTATATTTGTAATCACAGCTAACAAGGTTATAAAACAACACACCTCAATAAATTATAATAGCAATTCAGATTTGACTATATAGTCATTACTAGCAACAACTAAACTTGCAAAAATTGCTATTATCATATTGTGGATCCACAATAATTCAATCACATGCAATCTAAGGGCCTCGGGTCCACTACCAGCACTCTAGTCAAATGTTCAGACAAAAATAAACCAAAGATAGAAGGTATAATACGTTCACTAAGTCAAACAACATAAAAATATAAAAAGGTAAAGTAAGTCCCAAATGAATGCAGTCCTGATGCGTGGCAATATACAAAAAGATTGCATAAAATAAGGTCCAGAAGCTCTACACTGTCAGCTACAGCTATAGAGCCTTAGGAGTCTTCCCTGAAGGTCCTGCAAATGTATTGTTTACTGAAAATGGTAAAGCAATGGGAGTAAGACAACATCTCAGTAACTAAATTCCTACTTATAACACCCTAGCATGGGCTAACGAGGTGTCAGGTAGGATACACACAGTTAACAATAGTTGCTAGACATCTATTTAACATTTAAACTCACAATAATCATATAAGACAAATATTTCCACTAATCTCATGCAGTTGATACATTTTAAAAGAAATAACATACGTTTCATTTATTTAAAAGATATAAATATCAATGAATATCTCATGTCATATACAATTCCTAAACCCAAATCCATCCTTATATTTTCCTTATTTCTACTAACTGTACCCATGGGCTAAGTTCTTCCCATTTGACTGGCAACTCTGACAAGCTCACTGCACGAGTGATGTGGACCGGCCAAAGATCACAGAGCACTCGATGGACTATGGGTCCCCCCTTGAAGAATTAGTAGGGTGTCGTAGTCCCTCGAAGAACTAGTGGGACAATAATAGTAGCCAACCATAGAGCTCCGTATGGAGGCCAATACCACGTGGCAAGTATATGAATCTCAATAACTCCAATTATCTCTTTTTCCCACCCAAAATAGATGCACAGGGTTCAAAATGACACATTTATATGCATAATCAACTGAATTTCATAATAACACATCATAATCATGATCACCAATTTCTTGTAATACAAACTGTGTCAATCCCTTTTAAAATAGCATCCCACAAGAAGTTCATACAAAACATAATATACTTTTATAGAATTAGTTATAAAATCACACCAACTTCATACTAGAGCATGTGACAGATAGAAATTTAGTTACCTGGTCTCCCAACTAACAGTCAAATACAACCAAAGTCTAACCTCAAAAATGCCACAATAGAGTTTATATCTATAAGTGAGATTAAAATGTTATCTCTATAGTATTAAAGTAGGCTACTCACAAAATTCTAGCCTCTAACTCCTCCTCTAAAAGCTTTAATTTTTACTCAGAATTCTAGCCTAAAAGACATTTCTCTAAGGTTTGGAATGAGAATACATATATGATTTAGACTCGATTCCTAAATTTTTCTCACTTAAATATCCTTTAATTATTAGATTATATTATTAGAATCATCAAATTCATAACGTAACTAGACAAACTGTAAATTTATAACTTATGTTCTATCTTCGAATGGCTTAGATAAATAGATTTAATACGAGCCAAGTTATTCTCATTATAGATGCTAAACCCTTAATCTGACAGTGGAATTTAATTTTTTATCTATCATGATACTATCCTCCAAATTATAGCTCAATCTAACGGTGAACGAACTTTAAAATGCTAATTTACTATTTAGGACTCTATTGCTAAATCTAAAAAAATAATTTAAAAACGTACCTAATAACTTGTAACTTGGGGATCAAAATGACAATCCAACCATTGAAATTAACGATTTGGATGTCCCAAATGGGCTGACCAAATTTTAGGCCGATCCAAAGGTTAAACTAGAACTTTTTTGAGACTACCTCAGATATGTGCAAAAATTATTTACTCACTTCAAGCTCCACCCACTACCTCCTATATATAGCTTCTCAAGCTCCTTCACTTTAATGATTAGTCGATGTGAGACTTCTATACCATGATATAATTTTCTAGAATATCATCCACACACACATTCACGCACACACTCACAGACAAAAACATTATTAAAATAATAATAATAATAATAATTTGCCTATATCTAAATTTTTATTAACTTAATACTAAAATATATTTATTTATAAATTTAATCAAATACTAGATAAAAATAAGGATGCTACACTATGAATGGCTAAGTTTCTTCACAATTTTGGAGCACATACATTCTTGTTTGACAATACTCTTCATAAGAAAGAGAGATTGACTCAAAATGTCCTTTAGCTTCACCACGTTTCTTGAACAATGAAAGCTCATTACTGATATGATTATCATTGATGTCATCATTCTGATGCTGCACATTAAATTTGGTAGGAATGCCTTTCAAGTATTGTGAACAAAAAGTTAGACTTTCATCTGCCAAATATCCTTCTGCAATTGATCCTTCAGGTTGAGCCTTATTGCCAACATATGACTTGAGAGTTCACAAATACCTACAATAAAAAGTCAAGCCTTATTGAATAGTTTTAAATGATGGATTATAAATATAATTGGAAAGTAACCTTGTTAAACCGAATTACCTTTCTACAGGGTACATGCAACGATATTGAACTGGCCCACCAACTTTTGCCTCTCCTGCTAAGTGTATAGGCAAGTGAACCATTACATCAAAAAAGGCCAGTAGGAATATGGTCTCTAACTTGCACAAAGTTATTTCTATTTGACTTTGAATTTTGTTAAGTTCTTCACATGTTAAACACTTTGAACAAAGATTTTTAAAAAATCTTCCCAATTGTATTATTGGTTCACATACTTGGGGAGGTAATAACCCACGTATTGCAATTGGAAATATTTCCTGCAATAGCACATGGTGATCATGACACTTCAAACCAAATATTTTTTGCTCATAAATGTTGACACACCTTAAGATATTAGATGCAAAAGCATCAGGTACCTTTAAGTTAGCCAAGAATTTGCAAAGGGATTGTTTCTTTTCAGGGGACAATGTATAAGGAGCAGGAGGCTTATAAACATCATTACTATTCTTAATCGGGTGTAAATTACTCCTAATGCCCAAGTCCACCAAATCATACCTTCTTTTTAATGTGTCCTTTGTCTTTCCAACTAAATCCATCACCGTCGACACAAGATTATCAGAAACATTTCTTTCTATATGCATCATATCAAGATTATGTCATATCAACAAATTTTTCTAATAAGGTAATTGGGAAAAAATGCTTCTTTTCCTCCAATTATAAGCCTTACTATCTATAGGGCGCTTTCGTTTTTGGCCTTTTCCAAATGACATATTACCCAATTGTTCTAATTGCATTGTGCTTCGTCTCCAGTTAATAGAATTGGTAGAGCCCTGAGTTCTTCTTTCCCATTAAATGATTTTGCATCTTTACGCTATGGGTGATTTTGTGGAAGAAAGCGCCTATAACCCATGACCCATGTAAGATAACTTGCTCCTTAATGAAATGTAATGTGTGTCTTTGTGACAACAAGGGCATGCAACTTGCCTTTAGGTGACCATCCTGAAAGATTTCCATACGCAGGAAAGTCATTTATTATCCACAACACTGCTGCATACATAATAAAATTTGATTGAGAAAATGCATCATATGTTTGCATCCCTACTTCCCACAATTGTTTCGGCTCCTCAATCATTGGTTGTAAGTAAATATCTATTTCATTACCTGGACACTTTGGACTAGGAATAAGAAGTGTCATCATAAAGTATGGGCTTTTCATGCAAAGCCATGGTGGCAAATTATATGGTCCCAAAACTACAGGCCAAATGTTATGATTGGCACTCATATTCCCAAAAGGTTGAAATCCGTCACTTGCCAAACCTAATCTAACA